TGGGGGGGGGGGGGAAGAGAGACCAAATACCTCACACTGATTTGGTGTTTTGATTGTATTATCAAATTTACATCCTTTGCTTTATCAGTCTCAATGACAACATGCCCAGAATTTGTCTATTCTAGTAGCTTTTCTTTGTTCATGCCCATCTACTTTCTACTCTGATGTACTTATGGTAATATCACCTCTGAGACCGACTCACAGCCTCTGTAAAGATCTGGCATTATGAATTAAGGATGGGCTCCACTGGCCTTTTCGCTGCATCATCTGTGTCTAGTGTTCCTGTTGAATTCTTCACTAAGAGCTTCAAAGTCAAGTTCAGGGCCTGACTCATCCAGACTCACATCCATGCTTGTGTCAGTCAGTCCCAGATCAGGAGCACACTGCAGCTGAAAAGAGCCTGCATGCTCCCTCTGTGAGGATGTGCATGTCTGAACAGATTCTCCTTCTCCTATAGCAGCCAATGCCATTTCTGGATCAAATGAAGAGCCAGGTTCACTTGATGTATTTGGCTGTGGTAAGGAGGACTGGTAAGGAATGTGCGCCGATTCACCGACTGCGATAGTCTGTGCTTTGCCAATAGCCGCCAGAGCCATGTCAGGATCAAACCTAGAAACATTAGTTACATTCCCTGTACACTGTGTAACTGATTTGTTAGTTTCACCATCACCAATGTCGCCAAGATCAATTCCTGAGCTGTATGTGTTACTTGATGTATTTCCTGCTAAGGAGAATTGGTCCTGCATCTCATTTGCTGATGATCTGTCTCCTTCACCCATTGCAGCAAGAGCTACATCAGGATCAAATGGTGTTCCAGTGTTTCCAGTTATATCCATAGTGATTTCTGGTAGGGCAGACTGAAACCGATTTTCTGTTGGTCCACCATTTGTGACTTGTTCTCCTTCTCCCATTGCAGCCAAAGTCATTTCAGGATCAAATGGAGGCCTTGGATCATCTGTGATGTCCCCTATCTGAGGCAGGGTATTCTGAAACTGTCCATGTGTTGCATCTGCAACAGTGCTGTGTTCACCTTCTCCCATTGCCACAAGAGCATCTTCTGGAGTGAATGTAGAGCCATTTGGCACATCTTCAATGTCTTGATACTGGGCATGCTGAGGTTCCACTGATGCAGATTGTTCTCCTTCACCCATAGCAGCCAGTGCAACTTCAGGATCAAATGAAGAACCAGAATCACTAGGCACAGTTTCCATCTGCTGCAATGTAGAAGGAAAGTGTTGATTTGATGTATTAACAGAGTCTGGGCCACCTTCACCCATTGCAGCCAAGGCCATTTCTGGATCATACGATGACACTGCATTACTTGTTACATCATTAGGTAATTGCAGAGACCGGAACTGGCCAAGCCTATCCATCAGATCTTGTGAAGAAACGATGGATGGCTTTGGAATATCAATGGAGGATGTTGATACCACATTCATGGGTACGGACACTGAAAAGTCTACTAAACTGCTTCCACCAGTGAGATTCTTTAGTCTTTCATTTACAATGTCATCTACAGTCTGAAGATCCTGTGTTTGCTGCTCAGAGTTAGCAAATTCAGATGAATGATCTAACTGCTGTAATCTTGTTCCTGTACCTATACCATGTCCATCACCTCCAGACGCAAGTTTCACGCACATGTCATTGCTCTCACTTGAGAGCAGGAAATCTTTACTTTTTGTCACTTCACCTACCACTTTAGAACCATCATCCCCTGATGTCCGAGCAGGGATAGGTGAATGATCCCTTTCTGATTCGTGACCTAAGGCTGATTTGGCAACTAAAGTGAGAGCTGAAAGAACTTCAGGACATTCAGTTTCTTTGTTCTTGCTAACATGGCCATCATCTCTACCACCAGTACTACCACTATTGGCACTACATTCGTCCATCATAACATGATTTTCATTCACACTTCTGGGTTTTATATCTTCTTTTTCTACTTTTACATCATCCTGCGTGTTCATTCTCATGCGTTTCACTATTTGCCCATCAGGTGGTTCTGTGACGCCAATGAAATGCTGCAACTTCCGATCATCCACAAGATATGTCCCACTGGCCACGCCAAGTGTTGTACACAGCAGTTCATCCTGAAGCTGAAGAGAGAGGATATTAACCTAACATTCTCTCTATGAATGTTGTCTTAACTGTTAAAAACTTAAAAATTTCAAACGGTGAGGATATGTTCCCCCAGGGCTTAAACATCATGTCATCAAGATGTCTATGGGAAACTGTTCATGAGCTTTAAATATGAAGCTACAGTGTTTCTCCTATGATGTCAAAGCTAACAAAGGCATATGATTAACATTTTGAATATAAAAGATTTACCTCCAGTTGGTGTTCTTTGCTCTTAACCTTGACATCCAGTGGCTTGAGGATATCACTAACAACAGTTCGCACCTTCTCTAGTAGTGCTTGCAGTTCATCACACATTGTGACAACGTAGCTCTCCTCTGCCCTTACAGCTTCCACTCGAAGCAACATTAAGTCCCAGAGAGAGAGAACACCTGCTACAGCAGGACCTGCAACCTCTGCCAGTTCACTTGCTTCACATGCTGCCAATACCTGAACATAAATTTCATATTAAATTTCAGTTTCTATTTGTCTTGTGTAGAGATGTAAAATTTACCAGATTTATTACTCTGAGATATAAAGTAACCACTTCTCTCAGGACCATTTAACAGTTAAACCTAACTTTAACAACTGACTGTGGAGTAGAGTTATTCAACACCCTGACAGTTGCTCACCTAGTCAAGGAATTACACGCATATTTTGAAGTCCGAAGGTTCAATTACCCCCCCCCCCCCCCCCAAAAAAAAAAAAGAAAAGAAAAGAAAAGAAACAACAACAAAGTATCTCATTCAAAGAAGTTCATTTAAAGGTACTTTAGGATCTAGTTATGCTTATCTAAAAATCTAATCATCCTGTAGTCAGCACTATCCTTTGAAAAGGTTAGAAATTCCATCTTTTTTAAGGAACTCATCCATATGTTCAAGTACTAGAAGAGGTTTCCTATTCTAGAAAAAAACAAAACAACTTTTCCATATGTATATATAAAAACTCTCTGGAAAGTTAATGCGCTAAAACATCTTATTGTATGCCATTTCAATCCTAAATGCCGCTTCATGACGTAGGTCTTGAAAATACATTTGAATATCTTTCTGTAATGAACACTGCACTCCTGCTCTGTATTCAGGAGGTACCAGGTTCAAATCTTGGCCCATAGACCAGCTATCCTGTCGTGACACTATAAGTTTTTCTCTAATCAGGCAAATACTAGGATATCACTTTAAATTAGACTAGGATTTTCTTTGAGGTTCTCATGGTAGGGAAGATATAATTTATGGTCTTCTGGGTTGTGATGCCATATAGACTTGTAGGTGGCAACAAAACATTTCAGAGGAACACTGGTAACCTACAGGAATAGACAATGTCAGAGCCCAAAGACCACAACTGTTCCTTCCACTTTCCATTTCATTAGTCATTACTCATTCTATCATTTTACACTGTACAGTTAATATTATCATCCAACCTTGTTTTTCAAGTGGCTGGTTTCTGAACCGGATTTCTCTGTTTTATATTTTCTCATTCGTGCATTCCATTTAGATTTAAGTACGTTAAGAATATAAGGAAGAGCGCGTTCCTCAGCGTACAAGACCATACAAATAGGTAGAATAATAATTACAATTCCTTGGATGTTTGATGAGTTTTTAATTCATCTCAAATTTGAAGTTTGTTTGCCTTCCTAGTATCTGCTTCCAAATGTAGATTTTGGATTAACTTTCATCAATCTATGCCTACCCTTGATAAAGTATTGAAATGTTTTATTTAAAGCAGCTACTCTTTAATGATGATGATAATGACCATACATTTGTATTAGGATAGTGTGTAATGTCGTCTGATATTTATAGGGACTTTTTCCAGTATATGTTTGATCTTGTCTCTTCGGTGTTGGTTTCGGGCACATAAGCACATGCTTGGGTAAATCGGGAACAGTAAAACAGCAAGGTATAACACAACTTGAATCCTATATACAGAATTATATTACCTTACATAAAGTAGTTACCATTTGTAACATTGATGTGTAATATCATATTTCATTACATAATTCATGTCTAGCTGTTGAGTCCACTTCTATCTGCACATATTTATTATGCTTCTTTTATGACACATTTAGGGGGGATATGGTTTCTTTAAAAATGGTTATATAGCCATAAAACATGGCAGAGAAATTAGTTTACCATTCTTTAAATGCGATCTTTATATACCACATTCTGCTTGGCCCTCCATATTTAGAAATGCCAGTACAATAAACAAATGTAAAGGAACCATATTCTTCGCAATGAAGGGCACAAATCGTACTGATGTAGTTACTATAAATTGACAGTGCATGGAATAATGCCCAACCTCACGGAGTTTTCCTTTACGCCTTTGGGAACGAGCTTCAGGGGTTGTATATGCCCAAGGACCTCTTCTCTTGCCACGACGTCTACCTGTACCTGTGCGAACTATGCCATTGAGGCCAGTACTTCTGACACCAACACCAACTTTTGTTGCCTCATTAGGCTCTGGAACAAGTAAGGTTAGGTTAGGTTCACTGTCTGACATATATATTTGATATACACATTTCAGACTTGTTCTTCACAACCTTGTTCAGCCAACAACTGGTTAACATTATACTAACATGTATATTACATAATAATGATGCAATATTAGATGCAAATTTTGTATTTATTTTCCATCTATACTTTAACCTGAGCTGTTCTTTTCAGACATTTCAGCATTAATATGCCACAATCAGTTTTGCATTATGCTATATTTACTGAAATTAATAACTATTAGCTTTACTAAACTAGTTTTTCTTCAGAAATTGTGGTTTATTAATAAGCATAAGCCTTTTCTAATGCAAAATTAATTTTCTCTCTTTATAATAAAGTATCCACAAAACTTTTAAAAACATTAAAAATCCCTCTCACCTGAATTTGTAGTAGGAGTTTGACTTTTATCATTATTATTATTGTTATTGCTGCTGCTAGTTTGATTTTGCATGTGCAGTTGTTCAATACTACCATGATCTGGATACATTTCAAAGTGTCGGGACATTCGGTTGTATCCAAGGTATATTTTCTGACACGTTGGACATCGGAAATGTGATGAGATTTTGCGTTTTGGTACTGCCAGTCCTGTGTAAAATGAGTATGGTGAAATGAATCAGGTAATGAAATTTAAAATTTCTGAATGTGTACAATACTTGAAACTGTAAAGTTTAGAACTCATCATTGCCAATCTAATTTCATGCATGCAGTATAGGTTCGTGTGAGCATAAAACTTAAAATACCTACTCACAGTGACAGCTTGTAACTAAACTGATATAGTAAACAATGTCAGCATTGTATAAATTCAATATCTGAACCATTTTTAAATAATGAAAATAGTTTAACTGCAAGGATTATGCAATAATGTGGTGTGGAAGACAGAAATTATGGTCTGTTTTATGGTATTAATCCTAATATCGCTCAAAGAATGAGAAAAACATTAAGTGCTGTATTTATAATTCTGCTTATTCCATAAAATTATTGGTTACCTGTACTAGCATATCACGTGTTGCATCTTTGGGACACTTCATTTTATCCTGTCTTCATGTTATACACTACAGGTTCGTGAAATATCATTAAAGAATATTAAAATTACTCCCTCCAGCTTTGGAACATTTTAAGAAATATTAGCAGTAGTACACCTTAAATGCATGTTCAGAAAACAAACCTAATAGTGTTTGTAGTTTTACGTCGTTCTGAAACATACTACTGACATGTATGAATGCTCACACTGGTTCAGGGCATGTATTTTAGGTATTCATGATTTTATTTTACTTATCTTTTGATTGTTAAGAAGTATTTACTAGTGTATCACAAATGTTCAAACACTGTGCATAGTTTCTTCATTATGTTACATGCTGCAACTTATGAACTTTCACATGAATTTATTGCCTTCCTTTACCCTACAGACCACAATGAAACCAAGTAAAATTCTGAATACTAATATATTTGTATATCTGAATTTCAGCTGAAAAACTGAAATGTAATCCTGAAGTATGACATGAACTGAACTTTAAAACAAAAAATTGTAAAGAAAAGCATGGAGAAATGTTGATGCAGCTGGCCAAAGTCAAGGCCGAGTTCCAACTGCACTAAATCCAGGGCAAATGTTCTGCCACTAACTCGACCCTGGACACAAACCTGGCAGCAGCTCCTTGCTGTCGGTCTTCTCTGGTGGATCCTCAGCCTCATGTTCACTCATCTGGTAGTCTGAATAGCCTCCATCAGAATCATCCATATCGGCGTCAGCAAAGTCAAGATGGTGCAGCCTCTTATAGTCTTTCACCATATGTCTAGGTGGACGAGACAAGCGTCCAGATCTTGTCCGTGCTAACTGTTTTTTCCGTTCACCCTGCTCAAATTAGTAGCATTAGATTCTGAGATCCATAAACTAATATACTTTGGTTTAAGGAAGAATTGTCACAGCAACGGAAGAGATCTATTATTGTACCTATTCATAGACTAATAATTACCAGCTTCACACAAAACTTACCCAACAAGTGTGTGACAAGGTTAACTAGTGTGTTGCTGAGATTACTTCGGATCATTGGTATGAACTGAATGAAACATACCAGCAATGGGTGTATGCCGATGGGATTTTGTAAACATGGTGATGAACCTTCAGGTTCCATGAAAGCAGCAAATTTCTTGATTAGCTGCATAACTATCAACTGTTCAAGGAAGACCCTATGCCATGGAATTAGTTATGTATTAATGCTGAAAATTAATTTATTAATTAATCCACAAGGAGTTATTATACTGAAAGTCATTTTGTGTAGAATACAAAAGTAATTTACTTACCTTAGCTGTATCATCAAGAATAAGTCTATCCTCATCAAAGTCCATATCAGCTGAACTAGCATTTACTCCTACCCTGCGCCCAGAACTTCCATCCATGCCTCTACCAAGACTTCCTCTCATATTTGTTTTGGGTGGGCGCCCTCTTCGTCCCCGACCCCTACTTGAGCTTGAAGCCAAACTTGTATTCAAGCCTGTCCCCTTATCTAGTGTTCGAGGATCTCGCAAGTCCAAGTCCTCAGGATATACAACCCTAGAAATATAAAAATGTAAAATGGAGAATGAAATTTGAGGTTCTCATGGCAGTTAAGACATCAGTGTTGGTCTTCTGGATAGTAACATTACGTGGATTTGTAGGTACATACAAACATTACTGTCCAGAAGACCAATGTCAATTAATTGGAGCATCTATACACGACTTTAAGATGTAATGTTAACATATTGACCAGACAATCCAATTGGGAGCAAATCTGTTTTGAAACATGCTATGAAACACTTATTTTAAGTCTGTGTGTGTAAACTTTTACTACAAATGTCTTGTGAATTCCTTCTAGCATGATTCAAAAGTGGGTTAAAAAATTGCACTCAGCAAGGAATTAACACAAACACCGAAAAAGAAATTATTTTAGAAACTTCAAACTTCGGTGATTTTAACCTGTATATGATGCGCGTGTTGGTCTCTGCATCATAAACTACATTCTTGGTTCGAGGAGCTGATTCCAGATGCTGCTGCTGCAAAACTGTTGCTATCTGCCGCAGCTGTTCTTCGGTCAAGGACTGCACACTAGACAGAGGTACAACATGTTACATATAATATACATAAGGAATAATTATATTGGATTCTTACCCAGTTATCTAATTTGAAAGTAATGTCCACATCTACAACAAAATGTTATCTTTTAAGTTCTCATTTAGTACTACTCTAAAATGTCTTCAGTTTATGTGTAGTCTACATTATATAGTGTAAAAAGCCTGTTGAAATTCAATAGGGAATGATTTCTTTCACACCTTCATTCCTCACATTTGTCTTTTATTACTTTATCTCTTTCAGTCCCTAATCTCCTTAGTATCGCTCTCCCATCCCTTCCACATCTCAGTTTCCTTGGCTGTCTTCAATCTTGCTATAGTATTCCTTTTATAACTCATACAGTACTTGTAACACACAGTTTGTAGATACAAATACCATTCAAAACTATCACAATGCAGTCTTTTTGAACCTCAATATGAATACCATATTACCTGAAGATATGCTTTTCTTCAGAGTCTCCATTTCCATGTCAGCTGAGATAACTGGGATGGCAGCAGATTCGGAACTGATTAACCCTTTAATATTCAATTACTGCATTATGTCCAGAATGTATTCATGTGTTTCAAATGATTACCAGAATAAAGAGCAATTATTTCCTTTACAGGTCTATCTTTACAACGGCCAAGTGTTGTGTTTTTTTTGTAGGCAAGAAATGAATATTAAAATGTTTAGATGAGATTTAGCTTCAAGTGATTAATACAGGGCTCTAATATTTTGGAAAAAATATATTTGATATTCGGTGTGTAAAACAAACTATATACGCAGAAAAGCAAATAACAAAAGCAGGAAGGTTTAAGCTACCTGATTACCTGTGAAATGTCTGACCATGTTGCACCAACTGTATAGGATTTTCACTTGATCCCAGTGGTTTTGTTGAATTAAAGTTTGGCACAGGCATTCGTGTAAGAGCTGCTGACACCATATTTGATACTTCTGGTGTTGCAGTTGTGGAAGTCTTATTGACTGAAGATGGATTGATGGAAACAATTTTTGGTGTTGTTGTAACACTGCTTGTAGCAGCCATCAGCCTCCCCGAGGTTGGAGCAAGGATACTAGTAAATTTATTGGTGTTGCTGTTTATTATAGGTTGTAATGTACGATTAGCTGACCCTCCTGCTACTACTCTGATCATGCCACCAGCTGATGTGCTTGTTGCCACAGATGCCAATATGCTGGTTGATGAAGCATTTGTATTTGAGCTTACAGTTGGGATTCCTGCAGGGCTAGAATTTTTACCAGCAACAACCTGTGTTGGAACTGCTGAATTTGTTGTTGACAGAACCACAGGAAGTGAAGATGCATTTTTCAAAGTTGTAGATATTAAATTGTTTGAATTAACCAGAGACTGGTTTCTACTGGAGGAAACAAATGATGAAGAGAGCCTTTCTAGTGGTGTGTTGCTAAGTTTTGTAGTCACAGAAGAATTCGTACTAGTGTTGTTCCCAGGAAGAATAACATATGATACTTTGGCCTGTTTCTCTAATGATATGTTTGATCCACTGATTCTAGAGCACTGATAATTGCCCAAAGACATAGTATGTTGCACAGACGATATTGGAGCTGACAGAGACTGTTTGACTGATGATACTGGTTCTGGCACACGTCGCTGCGCAGGTGCTATAGGTAGGGACATAGACTGTTCCACAGATGATACTGGTAAGGTCACTGGTTGCAGCACAGGTGATGTAGATAATGACACAGATTGTACAGTTGACACTGGTGCAATTGTTGAGGCACTAGAACTAACTGATGGCATTGTTGTTCTGATAAAGCTAGTTTTATTGCTTAATGTAACCCCTAAGTTTGTTTGTTGAAGACTCGCTGCAGGAGGTACACTCTTTAGCTCACTATCCATGTTTGTAAACTGCCTATTCTGAAGAATGTTGCCTTCATTGTGATCATCTTGAATTTTAACTGTGTATGTCATCTGACCATCAACAAATTGTGGTATTAAGGTTATTGGTTGGTTTTCATCACTAATGAGAGAGCTAACAGCTGAGAGGGCCTCCACTCCTTTCCCTGATGATTCCAACATCTGTCCACTATTGTCAATACTACTGCTCTGTGCCATGTCTGCACAAGATGTGTTTGTATCCAATTCATCATCAAACATAACATCATCAGGGTTATGTTTTGCCTCATCTGAGTATACTAACTGGGTATTTTGTTCATCAGACATATATAGACCACTTTCTGCTGCATTTTCTGCTATATCGGATTGGATTGTTTTATCATCGTCATCAACTGAAAAGTGCAGACCTAACGCCTCTGCTTGTTCTACTGTCAGCTGAAAGGTATGCGTTTCACCTTGATCCCCTTGAAATATTGCCACTAAATTTTCGTTAGCATCTTCAGTCTCAGGAACTGGTGCACTATATTCATCGTTGGCTTCTTCGACTGCATCTTCTGCTGCATTCGACACTTCTTGCAACGCCTGTTGCAATAAATCGGCGTTTATTTCATTTATAGAATTATCCCCTGCATCTCCTTGCAAAATAATAGTTTGTCCATTTACGAGGAGAACTCGTGTTTGTTGAGGTGTTTGGTCGTCTGCCATTGTTTATAAAAATACAACTCATTGCAATATTAAATAAAATCAAAATAACTCATTTGCTTGCCCATCTGTTAACATAATAAGCAATTATTAGTACCACTTGTATCCCAACAGTCTCACAGTTATTGCCTTTAACAGTCGAGCGTCGTACATCAAACATTCGCACTACTTCCATTTTCTATTTTCTTCCTACTGGCTGCAACACACCGGCGCGACACAGTGGATTACAGCGTAACGCAACCGACATACGTCTAAGGAAACTTTTGATCTGTGATTTATACTCTGTGTTCAAGGTAGTCGGTTTTTTACAAATACCGATGTGTGTCGTTTTTGAAATATAGTACAGGAAGAATAAACTAGTATTATTACTCCATTAATGAGCTTCATTGCTGCTTTTGTACCACACTTTTCATGACTTAATTATTAGCCGCAATTCATTGGTAACTGTAGAAAATCATTCTTTATGCAGAAATCTTTATTATGACATGACATGAACTATGCAGCACTTCCTATGGGGGAAGTTGGTGCTGGTATTAGTTGCTGTAGTTGCAGTGCTACAGGTGGTACACCTTATATTGTTGAGCAGATTAGAAGCAAAACATCATCACAATGAAGATCAAGATGTTCGTCCAATTTCATCTGGGAATGAGGTTAGGAATGGACTGAAGGTTAGTTGTAGGTTAGGTTTGTTACTTTCCATCGTTCTCACGCAGTTATAACGGCTTACAGGCGGAAGCAGCATTTGCGTCTCTGGTACGTTCACTGCATCAAGGAAGAGTGCTAGATACAAGTGGAGAGTACCAACTTGTTCCAAATCTTGCTCCTGGGACTCGACAACCACCACCCCGTTCTTCCAGCACTGTCCCAGATATTGCTCTAGTCAGCCAATGTTCATTCAACCATTTGCACCATATTGTACCAATGGTGCAACGGTGGCAGGTAGGTTTAATCCTCAGTGTCATTTATGGAGACCAAGGGTGAATTATCAGAATAGTCTTTTTTAATCAGATGCCATTTGCCACTTACAGAGTTAATAAGGTAATTAGAAATCACACACACATGCACTATATAATATTGTATTTTGTAGAGTTCTGTTCCTGGCTATACCATCATTAAACTTACAATATTTGCTGAATAACAATGTGAGTGTATATTTATTTATTTAATTATTATTGATCAGCATTGCACATTATATTTTAGGGACCCATCTCTGTGGCAGTATTTGCTGAAGACCATGAATTATCAGAAGCTCTGTGGCGAATTGCAAGCTTGCGTCTCTGCTACTCAGCAGTTCGTCATAATGTTTCATTCCAACTGGTTTCTCCACTACCTGCGGGAGGTCGTCCACCCCTTACTGTACCACCAGTCCCCTCTCCCCCATGCCAGGTTCCTGTACCAGAAGCATATAAACAAAAGAACAATTATGCAGGAAAGAGACGCTTTCCTAACAACTTACTACGCAATGTTGCCCGCCGTGGAACCTCAGCTGAATTTGTTTTTGTAGTGGACATTGACATGCTGCCCAGCTTTAACCTTAGACAGGTGAAGATAATATACATCTGTAACACATATGACACGTACAAGCATCACACCTCACACTGAGGTGTTGGAGATACTGTATCATTTTATTCTTGTAAGCTTAAAAATGGAGTCTTATACAAAATATTAGGCTGTCTACTGTGTTCATTTCACAAACAAGGACAAGGTAGAAAGATGAACTTTAAGGTTCTCATGTGAATGCTTATAAACTGATTAATTTTGCTTATATCTTAATTGCGTCATGCTTGTGTTCTTCAATACAATAATTTTATTCACCGTCTTTACAGTGGACATTGTACCGTTCCGTAATATCGGACACGCACCTCACACACAACCCGATTTAAGGCATCCAGGCGCAGCCCTCAAAATTAAATGGAAGAAGCCTGGAGGTTAAACAAATAAAATCTAACGGGTAGAACAAAATCAGTATACGCAGAGCAGCAGATGCAACAGTTTTTAATTTTGATTGATAGACCTGACGATGATGGAATGAACATCGAAACATGTCGTCATTTTAAAATGTAACAATATCAAATGTTGAAATGTTATAATTTTATGTGATTTTAACAATCTATAAGCTTGTGTAAAGACGGTGAATAAAATTATTGATTAATTTTGAGCTTTAAATACATGTTATGGTTTCTTATTGCAGGATTTTTATGAATTTGCAGTGAAGAATCATCTTTTTAGTGAAACTCATCATGAAGACAAAACAGTATATGTGGTACCTGCATTTGAGGCACGCGAGACTGCCACACCTCCACGCATGAAAACAGAATTATTGAAACTTTCTGATGGTGGAGATATACGTCCATTTTACATTGAACTTTGTTGGAAATGTCAGGTAATACTAACATAATTGTTTTTGTGAAACAGATGTGAAACACACTTCTAATTGAAATGTGGCAGGTTTAAACTTTCAGTTCCTGGATGGTTGGATATGTAATGTATCAAGAGAGGATTATGGGCTTATCTATCTTTATACATTGCTCCAATCATTCTTTTGTGCAGAAAGATACAATTCATGTAGAAAAAGTTGGTCTTTAAGGAACAGATAAATAACATATATGATTTCCATTATCATATCAGATATAATGGAGAAAACCTGGGCATGATATGAAGTGCCATTTACCCATTTCAATGCCGTTAACATTTGTGGTGCATGTAATAAGAAAATTGTGTCACAGACACTTTTAATTGTATATGCAGTGAGCAGTTTGGTCAGTGTGGAATAAAACTCTGATCTTTATACCCTGTCTTCAACTTCAACACCTTGAGCTGTTTGAATCATCAGAGTATTATTCCTTATCAGCACAGCAGTGTTTAGTCTCTGTGGAAGTGCCAGGGTTTTTGACTCTGTGTTTATCTATGTACGAGGAGCAGTCAAAAAGTTCCCGGAATTGTGGTATAGCACTGTAATGGTAGGACATATGGCAACGCTTACCTAATCACCTTCAAAGTAGGACCCTTGTGCGCACACACACTTGCTCCATCGATCCTGCTATCGTTGGAAGCACCGGCAGAAGGCTTCGTTTGGAATCTTCTGGAGTTCGGCAGTCGCATTCGATTTGATGTCCTCCATGGTTGCGAAACTCGCCCCCTTGAGGCCCATTTTCAGAGTAGGGAACAGCCAGAAGTCACTCAGAGCGAGATCCGGAGAGTATGGTTGTTGGGTGATGACGGGAATTCTTTTCTCAGCGAGGAATTGCTGCACAACCAGCGATGTGTCGAATGCGATGGCCGAACTCCGGAAGATTCCAAACGAAGCCTTGCGCCGGTGCTTCTAACAATGGCAGGATCATTGGATCAAGTGTGTGTGTGTGCGCAAGGGTCCTACTTTGAAGGTGATTAGGTAAGCGTTGCCATATGTCCTACCATTACAGTGCTATACCACAATTCTGGGAACTTTTTGACTGCCCTACATATATACTATTTCCTTGTGTTTCCCGCATTCTAGCGGAATAGCTATCATGTTACCAGGGATGAAAGTTATATGATAATCTTGTTGATACTTTTTGTGATATTACAGAGCCATTAATCATATAAATTGTAACTTATATTATAAGTCACAGAAACCATATAATTATTTTAACTCATTATTAAGGATGTTACAGGTACATACAGACTATGAAGCCTGGCAGAAAGAACCTCCTTCATCAGGTCTTGCACCGCTCTTTGAAGTATTGTGGAAAGACCCATGGGAACCATTTTATATCTCACGTAATTCAATCCCATTTTATGACGAGAGATTCAAGCAATATGGTTTCAATCGAATCAGTCAGGTAATACAGCAATTGCCGGTGAATATATATTCCATTAAGTTTTTTAAGTATAAAAATTAATTGTTCTTTAAGATATTCCAGTGTAAGATATAGTGAGTATAAACTCTTATCATTGCATAATTAAATTGTGCGGATAAGAACAATAAAATTATTGTAAATTAGTAGTCTCATTAATGGTCTTATAAATTGAAAAAGTACACGTATTGATCAAGTATTTTTTAATTGTAACAAAATTGTTTTGAAAATCGTATATTTTACATGTATGTTGTAATCTGAGTTCCAGAACATTTTTTATTTGGGAAACTGTCTGTTCATAATATTTTTAGGTCTGTGAGCTGCATGTTGCGGGCTTCAAGTTCTCTGTCCTTAACAATGCGTTTCTTGTTCACCGTGGACTAAAGACTGTTACATCATTCCATGAAACTAAAGACTTGGATCAAGAAAGGAATCGTCTGCTTTTTCGACAGTTTAAAACTGAACTCAGAGAAAAATATCCAGAATCATCCCGGAGGTGTTACTGATATTAGTGCTGTGGTTGTAGATCTCTGACATAAGAAACAAAAGTCTCACGAAAGTGTATTTTGAAGTATTCTCTTCAAATGTTTGATCAGAAGGAACTTTAAATTACAGAAATGAAACTTGTCATTTTCTTATTGTATTGCACTGTTGTACTATCTCTGTTTAAACAATTTAAATCAAATCCCAAAGTTCTTAGTTTTAACAGTAGTTTTGTATGTCAGTATCTGTGCACAGAGTCCTGCGCCATAGCCGCGCAGTCTGAGGTATCATGCTTTGAACTAGCGATACAGAATGCGCGCTGGTTCGAGTCTCGAGGGAGAAGAAATTTTCTCATGAGCTTTTGACCAGTGTAAGGGACCGGTGCCAACCCAGCATCGTGAGGAAATTGGGGAGCTACAATGAGTAGCGTAATCCGGTCAGGAAAGCTAGCAATGGCTGGGAGTTCGTCGTGCTGACCACACGTCTCCCTATATCTGGTTGGATGATCGTTCACCTCTGCTTAGGCATGTGAACGTGAGGCCAGCAGCCAGCTAGTCGGCTTTGGCTCTCTGGAGCTGTTACGCCACGGATTTCATTTTCATCTGTGCACAGATGTTACGATAAAATACTGATATAAATTGCTGCGATAGAGGCAGTCAGAAATTAATGCTAGTCACTACATGAATATATGAATAGCTTTGTTTATGTACATTATTTGTTACTAATTACTTCCAGTTTGAAGTATACTGCAGTTCATGTGTGGTTTACAGAAGTGAGTTGAATGCACACCATGCCAGTTCTCAACTTTTTTTTGTGTTGTAGTTTGCACAGTTCAGATCTGTTCATAAAATGAATAAAATAATAATATAAACAAGAAATGAAGGTGAGGAGAGCTGCATACATCCAGTCAGCAGGATTTATTGTATTTCAAATATGCTCAGTTGTGCTCTTGAATGCAGCCTTGCTAAAATTAAATATTTGTAATCAAATTGGTTAATTAATGTAATATAAAAAACTGAATGCTGAAACTTAACAGATTTTGATTTACAGGTATGATGTTTATAATGTTTTGAATTTCCTACTGAAAACTTTGGTTTAATGGCGCCTTTAATTTATTAATGACAATAATATATAAGAGATGTATTGAACTACGCCAGATTACTACTTACTGTATACATTCATTTATCATTACTGTACATTATAAATAAACCATCTGAAAAAGTGCTTTATTATAAGTAAAAAAATTGTATATATTGTAATTATAAACTTTGAATATTTTTGTTTGCACATTTGATTTTTTGGTGATTTTTATAATTACGCCCAATGTGTACTTCATGAAAATGAACAGAAACTCTAATGAACATTTAACATGAAAAGGACTGGACCAGCTAAACACGTGGTTTAAACCAGATCTTAATGAAAAATAAATTCTCTAACTATTTCTAGTTCATTTGAAATTTTGTCTGAATTATTTTGTGGTGGTTTCTTAAGGAAGATGTCAGGCTTTAGTCAGGTCACTTCTTACCTCTTTTTTCCTCAACATGTAGTAAGGCTTGAGTTTCTTCGTTATAGTTTGGTGTCCTGCGGTAGGGGTGAAAAAAAGCAATTATGTTTTAATAATACCTCGATCAAAGCAGCATGTTCATAAGAATTATCCAGCATAAACAAAATCTTAAAAGTCCATACTTTTTGCTTTGTTGTATGTAGAGGAAAAATGAAGTAGATCTTCATAAGACTAGTTTAGACTTTTGGAGAATTTAGCTATAGCTGGAGTTTAGGTATGTGACTCAACAATCTGCTACATACTTCAAACAGATTGGTTGGAAAGTGTCTAAGTATCCAAGAAACAATTTTTGACAGAGGGAATGAAAAAATATTCAATTATGGATAGAATGTAAAAATATGTACTGCAGCAGGTTTGAGAAAATTTCTCTTTTCTGTATAATGTCATTTTGAAGCCCAACATTTGATAGTCGCTTATGTAAGGAGAGCAGATGAAGAAAGTGTATCCCCCAAAGCACATAATTCAGACTATGAAACATCCATTAAAAATATATTCTGGAGCTGGTTTTTGTTCCATGGCACTGGTTATCTGATACTTGTTAGTGACCAGGATGGTTTCAGAACTTAGAAAGCTAGGTTCATCTGGAAATGCCTCCTTTTCACAAGACTTTGCTTCATACAATGCATCCAATAAATCAAAGAGTTTTATCTGACGTTATTTGGAGAGGCCAGAAAATTTGTGAGACCAACAATAAGGGCGTGGTTCCATGATCCAAGAATTAAATAAACTTGTGGGATAGACGTCTGAAAGGGTTAAACTTATTATAAAAGACAAAAGATGTCATATTAAGAACTATGTAAGTTCCATTTCATTTTTGTAAGTTTGTAAAAAATTGATGTTTTTATGTGGAACTGATCATTTGTTCACATTAATTTTCACTAGACTGTAGTGCCAAATAGGGCATAAAATTAAGTATTGTTTTGCAGACAAAATGTCTACTTCAGTTCGATAGTTCTATCGTACAACTTCTATGTCCAGACAAGTGCTTCCATCTGAAAGCGATAAGATCAACTCGGTTGACACTGCGCGGGCGGTTTCGTATTGTGCTTGTAGTTGGTTTCGGGGCGGCAGCTTGAAGGGGAGTTAAGGGGACTTAGACGTACACATGCAGGTTGTGAATATCGGTCCAGTTCACGTTCTTCTGCCTGGTATGTATTAATAATACTTTTAGTTTTATTTTCGTTTTCTAATCTTTGTTTCCTGCTCGGAAAATTACACTTGGCATGTAATCCGAGGACTGCAAATGAGCACGTGAATATAGAAACAAGACTTACTCAAAGGGACCAGTCACAATGAATAACTTGAAATCAGCACCTGTGCAAGGAAAACAGGTTAGGGACATTGCATCAGCAGTAGTAATTGTGAACAGAAGAGGAAAAGTATGCATCATGTTGTCACATTTACGTTTGAAGTGTTCTTCCATTCCCGATTAGAATTTCTGTGTCGTAGCTTCCATTCCCGCTTAGAATTTGTATATTCTTTCTCGGAGAAAGAAAATAGTTGTACCTTCCCAGCCCCCTTCCAGAGGATGGTGAAATTGGTAACGGAACACATAATAATTGGATAATGGAGATGACTGGCTTCTAGGTTGTTGCGTCGCGTAGTGTGGTAGAAGTTTTCCAATGTTTCAGAGGTCCTTGTTGCCTCCATCAACAGGGCGATGAGTAAAACCTCAAATTCTAATTGGATGGTGATTTACGAATGTTCATATAAAAGGTTAAAAGGGGTAAAGTTATCCTAGGGCGTAAACACGCGCAATTAAGACTTACTTCTGTGTTTATTAGACAGTGGAGGTTGAGAAAGTATAAAATCTTGTATATAGGATTCCACGACACAGTGAAGGCTCATGCGTGTTTTTGATGTCATTTGTTGCAACAAAAAAATACAAGTAATAAGAATTTTAAAAGTTGCTAGTTATGTTCTTATAACGTGTTAGTATTAGCACAGAACGAAAGGAGCTCGCACAGAATTATACCCATTTCCCTATTAAACTGTTTGTAGTTGCGTAATTTATTTCATTCTTTCTTGTGCGTCGTACCGGGTGATCAGAAGGTGGGTTCTTTATGTGTGCTGTGTTTAACATGCAGATCAACAGAGTAATGAAAGACTGGGGACTGCAAAACGTGGATTTCAATTGGCAATGTTGTAGGCAGGTGATCGAATAATAATGGCAGAATCTGACGATGAGTATCGAATGGCAGCATAGCACCTGCACTGTATGACACGAAAATTATGACGTCAGAAACTAAAGCAATGGGAGTGTGCGGAGGAAGTTTTTCAAACAACAAAAATATATATGGGTGAGAAAATAACAAGTATTCGGAGATTTCTGTCTTCTGGGTTGTTGCACCGTGTAGTCTGGTAGAAGTTTACCGACGCTTCAGAGGTCCATGCTGCCTCAATCATCAGGGCGACCTGACAAAACCTCAAATCTTTCAAGTGTTTTATTTTATTTACTTAGGTAACATGATTTATAAACTGAAAAATATATTGACGTTAAGTTACAGCGTAATAAATGACGTGATTAAACGAAGTCTTGGCACTGAAATGTCTGTTGGTATAAAATTAAGTCTACATCAGGAACAAAATTGAATGAACTTTAAATTTTGGACCAAATGAAACCCGGAAATTAGAGGTAACAAATTCGTTTTTGTGAACACTACTAGGATTCACTGGATTACATAAGATTTTAACATCGGAGGATTGAGAGTTAGTATCTTCGCACCTGCACGTGGGGTGACCTTGACTTGATTGTCATTAGGGAAGTGGGTGAGTTTATTGTGCGGGGGTGGACCTACTTCTGATTTCTGCCGTCGTACGTGATGATGGTAGGCGAACGGACTTTATATTCGTTTACAGCGCACTCCGAATTAGTAAACAATCTCCTACTTAACGCGTGCATTTTCTTCTCGTAGGTTTTCTGAGGAAACAGGGATGAAATTAACACCTGTGATTGCGAACTATGTTACAAGAATTCTCTTTTTTTTTGTTATCAGGCAAGATTACAAACATGCGTTTTATTTTTCATTTCTGTAACAGTGTGAATTATATTATTTGTTTGTAACAACTGTTGTGTTGTTGTTTCTGGTTTTACTAATGCGCTCACAGGAAGTATTATAGATAAATGATGTTTTAAAACTCTTCATTAATTAATGTGATCAATAAACGCCATTTTGACACAGTTACAAATTATTATCGTATTGTTTCAACTCTCAGAACTTTCACAGACAGCAAAGAAATTAGCAGTGGAGTACATATGTTTTTATATATGTACGCATATATACGTGTATATAATTCAGATACTTTCAAATGGCGGAATAATAACTGTAAGGAAGAAGTAGGAATTGTTAATGTGATATTTGTCTGAGGTATCACTCGGGGAGAAGCCTTTGATATTGTAAATATTATTAAATTATTTTCTGTTTTAGAAATAAACATTTGACTTCTGGTTTTTATATAGCAGATTTTAACATAGGGCTTGCTTCGCCTAGACAGTAAAATACTGTAACTTTTATTTAATGAGCGGGTTTGAAACCTGGTCGTGGTACGGATATTTGTTTGCCTGTTTCTAAGTTGCTCAGTTGATGTTAGTGAAAGTGAAATCGTACCACGTGACTGTAAGACGTTAGGTTGTAGTAGACCAGAAGGCTGCCAAATAAGGATACAGAATTCGCTTCAGAACTAGAGGCTAATTTAAAACTTTTAACTAAAAATCTGTAGCGATTTCATTTCATTGCCAATAAAAGCAGAAATGTCTTTTTTTTCTTGAAAACATACTTTTTTAAGATGGCCGTCTTCTGGGTTGTTCCGCCGTGTAATCTGGTAGAAGTTTACCGACGTTTCAGAGTTCCTTGCTGCCTCCATCATCATCGCCTTCTACCAGACTACACGGCGCAACGATCATAAGACAGTCATCTTCGCACTCACCGCCGTGAAAACCTGAAATCCTACAAAATACTTTTTACAGTCTTCCTAATTTCCATATTACAGGTTTTAACAGATGATAAGCGGGCAATATATAAACTGTCTTCATTTATTTGTGTTAAATTGCTGTGCATGGTCACGTCTGTATTGTGTTACCAAATTCTAGTGACTTCTTCAGAGGGTGGTGTGCGGCGTGCATACAAATCAGGAAGAATCCCCACAATCTCCATCCTTTGCTCTAAAGAAGGATGTATATGTTTATATCCATCAAGACTAGCTGTCGGGAAATTGGGAGACGAGATCCAGCGATACAAACTTTTTTTTGTCAACTTGACAGACAGACAGACAGACTTCTCTTTAATTTGAAGTTCTTGTCTTGCATTTCAGTACAAACATTTGAAAGTGTTAAGAATACGAAATTTGTAATCAGTCCAGCACCAAACATTTTAGGTTCTTGAAGCAGATTGTTTTTATAGGTTCCAGCTTGAAGTTTTACAGTTTTTAATTGGTCATTTAATTCACGATTGAAACCTATTTCATGTGTACAATTCCAAGATGTTTTTTATTTTAATAAAGAGGGGTGTTAGGAACAGGGTCGTTCGTGTAAAGTAGGACCGCCCAACTTCAAACTGTGTTCTTGTAGTAAAGCAGGACCATGGAATTATTACTGGGATCAGCTAGTTAAGTTGGCACTTCCTGCTTTCAAGATGGTTCCCATCTAATTTAGAATTTTTATGTCATATCGCTGTGAACGCGCAATATGAAAGCAAAACGAGACAAGCATTGCGTTGCGTAAGGTTAGTTAACAGCAGAGCTCAGACAGCTTCTGTTGTTCCTAAAGGCCCCTCTGCAGAAGCTTCAGACAGGATTCAACACTTCCTTGTTAGTCTTTTAATGGTAACTGGTGGGTTGATGGATGGATCGTTTCTCTTTAAGTAGTGTAGCAGCGGAGCGGCAGAAGTTTGCTCTTGTTCTTTCACCAAACGTGTTTCACTTTCTCACCCAAGACAAAAAGACGAATGGTTAAAGTAAAAAAAACATTTCTATCTCTGTAAATATCCAGTGTTATAATCTGTCATCACGCAAGTTATAAGACTTCTGACGTAGACTGTATGAAGTCCAACAGCACGGAATATTCACCTATAGAAATTTATGTTAGTCATTAATGTTTCTTCATTTATCTTTTCTTGCTAATTCTTCCCTTGAACCTAAGGTGAACTCCGCTCAGGCTTCAAATTTCGGACTGTAGCATTTTCCTTATTATTTGTAATGTTCCTGTTTTGTACAAAATATATTAAATTGTTTCCCGATATTGTTTTCAGATACTTTTTTAGTCCTTTGGTTACAATTTCCATGGCTAATGATTACCGATATGACAAAGCATTTCATATTCCACATTCGTTGGATGTACTTAAAACTTTGTATTTTAATTTCTTTTTGGTCTCCTTCTGTATTACGTTATCATCCAATGGTACTGCTACATCTGTTAGTAAGCAAATATTGTCTTCTTGATTTACTATGCCTGAACTGTTTACCAGAACCTCTGTATCTGTTTTTACCAGTTTGTCCACACAGACGTTTTTAGGTATTCGTAAGTACCAGTTTTCTGTTGTTTCAGTGCAGATTGAGTAATGTAGATGTGTAAATACTTTATCATGTCTTATTATGGGACATCCTGATGTTAAGTGGTCAATGTTTCTTCATATTTGTTACATAGTCTGCATATACTTTAAATTTCGTATTTAAAATAATTCAGTTCATTTATTTAAGTGCTTGACAACAGCCAAATAAAGCCAATAACAGCCAAGCACTAAACCAGAGTACAGGAAAAAATATAATAAATAATTAAATTCATTTCAATAATAATAATAAAAGTAAAACATTACAAATACAAGAACAAACAAACAAATGAAACTAAATAAATAAGTGTACCACATTAGTTCAATTCAATTCAATTCATTTATTTAAGTGATTGACAACAGCCAAAAAGGGCAATAACAGCCAAGCACTAAACCAAAGTACAGGATAAAATATAATAAGTAATTAATTTAATAAAAATAATAATAAGAATGATAATTCAATTCATTTGTTGAATAATGTTTCACAAGTGAATAGGCAAAATACGTTACCTAAGTAATATAATTCAATTGAATTCAGTAATAATAATAATGTAATTATATGATATTAATAACATTAATTATTATTTTCCGTTAACATCTATATT